GGAATGGGATGGGATGGGATGGGATAAAGATGGAATAAAATGGGATGGGATGGGATGGGATGGGATGGGATGGGATAAAGATGGAATAAGATGGGATGGAATAAGATGGGATGGGATAAAGCCTGTGGGATAGGATGGGATGGGATGGGATGGGATGAAATAGAATGGAATGGAATAAGATGGGATGGGATGGGATGGAATGGAATAAGATGGGATGGGATGGGATAAAGTTGGGATGGGATGGGATGGAATAAAAATGGGATTGGATGGGATAAAGATGGAATGGGATGGGATGGAATAAAGATGGGATGGGATAAAGATGGAATAAAATGGGATGGGATAAAGATGGGATGGGATGGAATGGAATAAGATGGAATGGGATGGAATAAGATGGGATGGAATAAAGCTGGAATGGGCTGGAATGAGCACCATTCCCATTTTTCCAGGCCTCCTCCGAGCCCCTCCGGCACCGTGTCGGCCGCCTACGGACAATCCCAGAGCCACTCGATCCCGGTGTACGAGATGAAATTCCCGGATCTCTGCGTCTACTGAGGGCGGGAACGGGCCTGGAATTGCCTTGGGAAGAGCCGCCTCCTTCCCAAGGATCTCCCGGGAAAGGATTCCCGCCCTTCCCGGGGCGGGAAAAGCGGGATACGGATGCTCCGGGCCGTCCCGACATCCGGGATCCTGGAATTCCTGTTGGGAAAAGGAGGTTGTTGGTTGGGAAGCCCTCCCTGGATCGGGGGTTTTTTTGGGAATGTGCCCCTGGAAAATCCCATCATTCCATAGGGATGAGGTTGGGAAAGGCAGGATGGGTTTTTTTGGGAATGTGGATCCCGGATGCTCCCAAATTTTGGGAATTCCCAAAGGTTTGGGAATGACAGGAATTAGGGAGGGGGGGAAAAGAAGGATAATTTGGGAATCCCGGGTGTTGCTCCCAAAAAGTCTTGGATGGAATCCAAGGGGGATTTGGGAATGTTGGGCGCTTCCAGCAGCTTCCCAAGGAATCCTGGGAGTCCCTGGGGAATCCCGGGAATGGTGACATTCCAGGGAATATCCACATATCAAACACCCCCCTCTCCCAGTTTTCCTGGTTTTGGGATGAGTTTCCTGCAGTTTTTCCCGAAAATTCCCAGATTTAGGGTTGTTTTGGGAGCGGAACCGCTCGGGAAAAGTCAAAAAAGTTGGGAATGGCGAGGAAATCCCGGGAAACCGCTGGGAAAAGAGGGAATTTGGGGGGCAGCCACGTTGGGAATGGTGAGGAAATCCCGGGAAACTGCTGGGAAAAGAGGGATTTGGGAGCATCTAGGTTGGGAATCGTGAGGAAATCCTGGGAAAACGCCAGGAAAAGAGGGAATTTGGGGGGCAGAGGGATGGGAATGGCGAGGAAATCCTGGGAAACCACCGGGAAAAGAGGGATCTCTGGGTTATCCCAAGCTGGAATTGCACATTCCCAATCCCTGTTTTGGTGTTTTTCCATGGATTCGGATTTCCATGGATTGCCCCCTGGGCTTTAATCCCGGTTTAGGGAAGGACGGAGCTTAAAAACCCGGGAAAACCGGGATTGATTCCCGGATTTAGGGCTGGATTTGTGCCTGAGGCTCTTCCCTAATTCCTGCTTTTCCCTGCTCCTGCTTTTCCCGGCTCCCCCTGTGTGTCTCCACCCCCTTATTCCCAGTTTTCCGGGAAAATTCCGGACTTGGCAGCAGGAATACAAAGCAGGAAAAGAAAGGTGGTTTTCCCTGGAAAAGCCCCGAAATCCTTAAAAAAATTCCCCAGCAGGAAAAAATTCCCGCCCGATTTGCGCATCCATGGAAAAACCGCCTCCCAAAATCCCTCAAATTCCTCGGGAAGACGAGGAGGAGCCGCGGGAACATCCCGGCATTCCCAAAACCCCTTTTTTTGGGACACAAACAGCCCCAGATCCCGCCATTCCCGGGGTTTTTCCATGGAAACCACCCCTTCCTTCTCCTCCCAAACCCTTCCGGGTTTCCAGAGGCTCCAAATTCCACCCGGAATTCCACCTATTTTTTTTCCCGGTGTTGTCGCCTCTCGCCTGATTTAGTTTTAGATCCCGGCCTTAGGGGTAGAGATGCCAAAGTTACCCCGGAATTCCCGGGATTCCCGGGTGCATGGGAGCGTTCCCACATTCCCGGGACGATCCCGGCGTTCCCACACGGAGCCAAAAGCAGGGAAGGGGCCGGGAAGTCGTGGAGATTTTTTTCCAGCTGCGTCGTCGTCATCATTCCCTATTCCCAATAAATGTCGATGTTGGCACCTGCAGGGATCTGCTGGATTTGGAGGGAATTGTCCCGGGATTTTGGGATGGGGGGGGTGGGAAGGGGCATTAAGGATCATCCACTTCCAACTTGGACACCTCCCGCTATCCCAGGGAATTTTTATGGAAGTCAGGGATGGAAAAGGCGGGAAAGGGGAAGGGAGACCCTGCCCTGAGCCCCGAGATTCCCAGGGA